AAACCTCCAGCAGAACCAGGCTCAGTGTGAGCGGCCATCTGCCGAGGCCGACTTGGGTTCAGTTGCTAGGGGAATCTGAAAAGTTGCAAAATATAGCAGCAAAGTCGTAAAATTGGAAACGGTGTTTAAAAGAACAACAATTAGCCTAAAGATGCATTGTTAGTGGAAGAAAACGGTACAGTTTCAAGAGGCGTGATTTCCTGAAAAGTAGCCAATAAAAGGCAGGTTATTTTCTCCAGTGGTTACTGACCTCAAAGTGACAAAAGGTTGAATTTATTGCCTGTCGGTTCACATTCTTGTAGAATCGATTTTCATTCATCTCCTTTGTTCATTTAATTCTCTGAGGCTCTCACTTAAAACTTGACTAAGAAATTGCTAATGGGAAGGACTGATTGTTTTGAGAATTTTACTTTCAACCCAGATGATAAATAAGAATTAATTAGGGTTAATTTATATTAACCCTAATTTCTCCCTTAAAGGAGAAAAGGAAAAAAATGAATAAGTTGGTTCACAATTTAACCTGCCCTACCATCATACTTCTACTTCCTGTTGTCTTTGTCTTTTTATGCCACTAGTAATGTACAGAGTTTACTCTTGTGATGCAACAAAAAGTGTTAATTGTCGTCATGTGAAATAGACCAACTTCATTACAAATAAAACAAATGATCCAATGGTATGGATCTGGTAGTGACAGAATGTCCTACTTGATTTTTAGACATTTTCAACTGATAGAATAACATTAATTATGACAAGGAGTTATGAAGTGAATTAATTTCCAATAATGTTTTAAGCAAACAAACATGTCTTTTTCTAGGAATCTTGCAAAATTAATTAATCCTCCAAACCCCTGACACCCCAGGGTGCAGAGCAGGAAGCAGAGTAGTAGTTTAACACACGTCTCTGCAGCTTCTCTACTGTTGCCCACTCATTACTCCATCCAGACAGTGTCTTGCCCACGACCAAAATCAAATAAATTAGAAAATAATCCTAAAGGAGTAAGTCATGATAATCTAAAATTAGAATACCTGAAACTATTAAAACGATTAAATGTGGTTTATTTAACATAAGATCTCTTTCTTCAAAAAGTCTGTTTGTTAATGATTTGATTTAAGCACAATGATTTATGTCGCCTGACAGGAACTGCAGCAAGAGCATAAATGACTCCTTTTAGTTATTTAAATTTTCACATACCCAGATATTTTGGGTAACGAGGAGGAGTAGCAGCAATATTTCAGTCTGACTTACTGATTACTCCCAAAACAGTTAATACGTACAACTCTTTTGAACATTTAACCCTTAGTTTCCCTTATTGCAAAGCCAGAAAACCTCTTGTTTTTGTAACTTTGTATCGTCCATCAGGTCTGAATTTTTACTCCGAATTTTTGGAAGTTTTCATATTTTCTATCTGATTTGAATACTGTCAGGGTCATCATAGTGGGGGATTTTAACATCCATGCTAACATTGAAGGTGATAGCTTAAGAGCAGCCTTTAATGCTATCTTAGACACTATTGGTTTTGTTCAAAATGTAAATAGTCCCACACATTCTCATCTTCATACTTTTGACCTTGTGCTGATATATGGCACTAATGAGAAGAAATAACAGTATTTCCTCACAACCCTGTCCTCTCTGACCACTTTTTAATAACCTTCAGGATTACTTTAAAAGATTTCTCCCCCCCCCCCAAAAGAAGGTTTCACTTTAGCCGATTATCAGTGCAGTTATAAATTTAAATTTTAAAAAATATGTTCCAATTTTTATCTCCTGCATCACTGAACAATACTGCAGAGGGGAACCATTTAATGTATTCCTTTTCGCAAATTGGTGGTTTTGTTGATGGGGTTGCTAGTTCTTTGCATACTGCCTTAGACAGCACAGCCCCTCCAAAAAAGAAATACTTAAAAAATAGAAAAACTGGCTCCCTGCTTTAATGCAGAGCTACGCACTTAAAGGTAAAATGCTTGGAGAATATAAGATTGCTGTATAACCCTTTGTAAAGCAAGAGCCCTCTTTATGGTCTGACCAAACCGCTTGCAGACACAATAAGGACAATAAGAATATCCACATAACACTGATCAGATCCACCCTAAAAGAACTGAAACTCACCGGATACATTTATCTAAGTAATGATATTAAAGAATGCAAATATTCAGCAATGATTTTTTTTATTAATGTCCAGATGTGAGTGGTTGAATCGTTCGTTATGTATGTGATAACATTTCATTCTTATGTCCATGATCTCCTGAGCACCGTTTCATCTGTTGTCCGCTTATCTCCAGCCATCCGCCTTCAGAAATTAGGCTTCTTCTATTCTACAAAACATAATCAGTAGATCAGGTCCAGATATCAACACTTCCCTCTGAAGCACCTGTCCGCCGCTGGATCTGAGCTCAGCGCATGGAAAGCAGGAACACCAGCTTCCTTCAGAGTTCTGGTGCTTGAAGTGATTGTTTGTGGTTCCCGTCCAGTCGGAGAGCTCAGAGAGAAGTGATGAAGACACAAGCAGCTGCTGTCAGACGTCCACCACCATCTTCCTGTGGAAGTCCAACCCACCAACCATCTACAGAAGACACAGGAAGTGAGGTCAGAGGATAGAATTCAGGTAAATTACAGATATTCTGTTAGTTTCTGCCACACTTCAACCTGAGTGAGAGAACCTGGATGGGAACCTCTGAACACTCACTGCGCAGAACTCCTCAAAGGACACCCTGCCGTCTCCGTCTTTGTCAGCGCGGATGATGGTCTTGTCAACGACCTGCTGCAGCTCCGTGTCCTGCAGGTTTTTGCCCACCATCATCTTCAGCACCTGGAAGAGCTCTCCATTGGAAATGAATCCGTCTTTGTCCATGTCATAAACCCTGAAGGCGACTGAGCTCAGGGACAGAAACACAGCAGGTTCAGAGAGACGAAGTCTGGTCGGTACGACTCAAAGACAGATGAAGGAACATCTGGACTCACAGTGGAGCTTCTGCAGTTTGTCTCCTCTGATGCTGAACTGAGAAACTCCTTTAATCAACTCTGAGAAACAAAAACAGGCTCGTTCATAAGGGGTATTACCTCTGCCGTATTTAAAAATACATGATGAAATAAATAAAATACAATCAACGAATAAATGTAAGTAGAAATTTAATTATACAGTGAGACATAAATGTATATAACTCTTTTAATTAGCTTCTTTATTTTTATTATTATTATTACAGTTATTATTACAGTGGTGTAATGACAATAAAGTTGAATTCTATTCTTATCTTCCTGCATCATTCTGTTGTATTTTATGTGTATAAAATCCTTCGAAATGACAAATGGTGGGCATGTAGGTGACGCAGTGGTTAGTGTGCATGACCCATGTATGGAGGCCTTAGTCCTTGATGTGGCTGACCCAGGTTTGAACCCGACCTGTGGTCCTTTGCCATATATCCCTCCCCTTCTTTTATACTCCCTTTCCTGTCAGCCTACCGTCAGAAAAACTAAAAAAAAATACAATAAATAGTGAACAGAGTAATTCAAAAAGACAAGAAATATAACAGTTTACAATTTGAAAAAGGACATATACTGAAGGATTTTTAATGCTTTTCTTAGCATCCATCCATCCCTATCCGATCAAAACAACAAAAACATGCTATGGGGCTCTCTACATCTACATCAAATATGGAGAATTTAGATTCAGCTTTCTATCTGAGTTAAGAGTGGCTCTCATACACTTTTAAACCTCTATGATTGTCCATTTGTTCATATCACGTTAAAGTAAATCCACCTGTATATAATATGTCACCTCAAACCTTTGTGCTACTACCTTGTATTTTTTTAATTTTCTTATTTTTATTTTGTTTTTCATTGTGTGCAATAAATGTACACTTGCACCTTAATCCTTATTTATATTGATATACTATATATATATATATATATATGTATTGTTTATTCTTCTTAATGCACCTTTTTCCTCCTTGTTTGCACCTTCTTCTTTAATTACTATGCCAATATGTGACAAGTAAATTTCTCCGCTGTGAGATCAATAAAGCTCATCTAATCTAATTTAATCTAATATCAGATGGATTATTATACCATTCCCTGTAGGTAGGGTTGTTGTGTTGTGCTTTATACCGTCTAAGTATGACTATCTTTGAAATTATTCTAATTTTAAGCCACTCTGTTTTTTTATTTCTATTTTTGTATTATTCTCTAAGGATAAAATAGAATTTAAAATGCCGTTGATCATTCCCATCACATTATGCCAGTATTAAGTCAGACGGGCAGAGATGAAACATAAGGAAAACATCTCAAGGCCTACGTTTGCATCCCCATTAGTGTTTTTTACGTTCCTGCTCTTAAATTTTAACTGGCACCCAATATAATTTGCTGGATGTTTTAAACTGCCTTTTTTCCAGGAGAACAGCAATTCTTCCTTCAGCATCAATGTTTTTTTCTGCACTAAGACCTCCATATCTCCTTCAGTTGTTCCCGTTGTGAAGATGCAGCCCTCAGGTTCTGTTAAGACTGAACCCAGGACCTGTCTGGTACCACAGTCTCCTGTACATCTGGGTCTCCATAGGGATTACAGGTTGTTAAAACCGGTCCTGAGGTCTAAACCCTGAAAGTTCTAAAGGATTATTCCTGCCTGAGTGTAACCAGCTCCCACTGTCCTACTGGAACCCAGAACTGTTAATATTTACCAAGGAAGTCAACTTCCCCATTTCCATCGGTGTCGAAGATGTCAATGACTCTTCTGACCAGTGGGTTCTGCTGGAGTTCTGGCAGAGACATGAACTCGTCCACGCTCAGGGAGCCGGATTTATCCAGGTCCAGTTTCCTGAACCTTTTCCCCAGCCTCCTGATCTCCACTCCCTCATCTGCAATGAAACACACGGACAAACGGGTCTCCTGCTGCTCTCTGATCAGGTCGACCTGCTGCTCGCCTCTCCTTCCAGCAGACTCACCTGCTTTCTTCTTGGTGCTTGCCATGTTGGTCCACTGCTGCCGTGCCTGGGTCTGAGCACTAACACCGGGTCATGTGACCATTTGACCCGCCTCTCAGAGCTAATCACCCCCCTGATCAGCATAACTCAGCTGTAAGCTGCCCGCTCATGGCTCATAAGTCCATAAAGGTCTGGATCCAGCTCTCAGTTCTGTCTCAGAACTATCAGCTGGTCTGGATCAGAACGTTTTCAGGATGTTGAACCCAGTTTGAGTCCAGTACCAGACCGACATCAGAGGGATTTTTTTAAAAACGCCTTAGTTTTGATCTTTCCAACAAATTTAGCTTTGTCCTCCAATCATGGAGTATTCAGCCCCCCGCCCCGTGTTTCCTGCCCCACAGAACTTTTAAAAATCTGTTTAGAGCTGCCTCTGGCTTATTTAAACTTCTTTTTCCTCATGTTTTCACCATGTGAGACACTTTGAATCCTTACTTTCAGGGCCCTTCATGGACAGGCGCC